AGGTCTTAAAGGGTTAACCCACAGATGCTGGAGAATCTGGGAACCTCATCAACACTCAGCATCTTTAAATCTCACCTAAAGACTTGTTTTTAAATGTTTCTGAGACTTTTCTGTTTTTCTGTCCTGCAGACATGCAAAGTACCTGTTGTTTGAATTTATTCTAGTCCATTAACAAACACATGATGGTAAGAGCCAACTTAGCTGGTGTTCCTGTTTCATGAATCACATGGTATTTTTGCATGTGCACACATTTGTTACCTCACAGAGAGCAAACAGCTTTGTGAAACGATAGCGATGAGCTGCCTGACTGTTCACCTGAAACCTGCCGAGAGCAACTTTACGAGATCAGACTGATCTTATGTAAACTTTGATGAGCCGTCAGTTATTCCACGTCCTCAATCTCACTATGCGAACCTGCTTTTCCCTGTGCCAATAACTCTGAGAGGTGCAAAGAATAAGAAACTTTATCTGCATCCTGTCAGAGAGCAGAAACCTCAGCAGGTGGGACGCTCACCTTTTCTGCTAGAGTGAGCACCGTCCGGGCATGTATCACCACCACCTGCTCTTCATTGGACAGATTCTACAGAAAACAACATGTCAGCAATATATAAACAACACGCTCAACATGGAAATGATTGTTGTCCCGACACAAACTCAGATTTATTCACTAATGAAACAGGAAACGTGTCACCACGGTTGCTAAACAGCATGTTTACAAAATGCACACATTCAACACACGTGAAGCCACAAACAGGTCACATGCATCACATGTTTCAGTGACACATACATGTACAAAATAAATTCAACATACACTTACGGCGTTATCTCCCAGAATGTCCAGCTTCTTCATCAGCTCACTCATCACGATGTCCTGATGGGCAAATCACAAAAACAACCATTACACAGTGAAACAATAAACACACACAAATAGACGACAAGACACAAAAGCAACACAACTCAGTCACAATAAAAAGCTAGAGAGTAAGGATGTGTCTTCAGTAGAGGTGGGAATCACCATACATCCC